GTTCCCCCCTTTGTGAAAGATGATTTATTATTGGCAGAACTGTCGAGGCATGGAAAAATTGTCTCTAAAATGAAAAAAATCCCCTTGGGTTGTAAGTCACCCCTTCTGAAACATGTTGTATGTTTTAGACGTCAGGTTCACATGATTTTGAAAAGTGAAACAGAAGAGCTTAGTGTGGCCTTTAAATTTAAGGTTGACGGATATGATTATGTTGTTTTTGCCTCATCTGAGACAATGAGGTGCTTTGGATGCGGACAAGAGGGTCATTTGAGGCGTTTTTGTAAGGAAAAGAATGAGAATATTGCACCTGCTCAGGATGGTGGTGGAGCAGTTGAGGAAGAACAGGTAGAAGATGAAGTGAGAAATGATGGGAATTTGACAGAGGTGATGGTTGAAGAGGTGATTGATACAGACATGGGAGAGAAAGGTGGGGATGGAGAAGGCGTAAATGCTGAATTCAGTAATGTGATTGAGATGGCTGAGAGTGTTTTAGAAGGAGAAGGAGAAGGAGAAGGAATGTGTAATGAACTAGGGAAGGAAGAAGAGGTTTTTAAAACCCCTTCAACTAAAAGGAAAAGAGTAAAGCCCAACATAGAAAGACCTGGGAGCAGCAGCAACAAATTTGATGATGGTGAACAAAGTACATTGGAAGACTCTGATAGTGAGGTAACTGGCAACAGAAATAGTGGCAGACTGAGGAGTGATTACTCCTTTGGAAAAATTAGATCGTTTCTTCAAAAGACGAAGAACATGAAAAATGTTCAAGTTGTTGATTTTTTCTCTGATCGTGAAATGTTTATTGAGTCAGTTGGAACAATGATGAGGGGTGAAGGATCTGAACAATTTACAGTGCAAGAGATTTTTAGGCTGAAAAAATTTGTTGCCAAATTGAGACGAGAATTACAAACAGAAAATGGTTTTGAAACAACATAATTATTCTGGTTTCAGTCCTTTAAGGATTGTTTTTGTTTTTTGTTATACTCTTTTCTTAATGGGGGTGATAAGGCTAGGATCACTTAATCTAAATGGTGCAAGAGATATTAAAAAAAGAATGCAGTTGTATGAGTTAATTAAACATAAAAATATAGACGTAATGTATGTACAGGAAACTCATAGTGATTGCAGCAATACCATTGATTGGGAAAAGGAATGGGAAGGAAAAGTAGTATTAACACATACGAGTTCTAGTAGAGGTGGTGGTGCTATTTTGTTTGCTAAACATTTTTTGCCTGTATCTTATCAAATAGAAGAAGTAATAGCTGGAAGACTTGTTATAATAAAGACGGAATTTGAAAAATATAGGATAAATTTTATAAATGTGTATGCTCCTACAAATGGTACAGAAAGAGTTATTTTTTTAAATAGCATAAATACATTATTACAGAACTGTAGAACTGATGATTATGTGTTTTTGGGAGGAGATTTTAATTGTACCGAAAATGAAAGATTAGACAGGAATCATGTAGAGCCTCATGCAAATTCAAGTCGAGTACTTCGTGAACTAATAGAGACACACAGTTTATGTGATATATGGAGAGAATTTAATGGAAATGTGAAACAATATACATGGTTACATACAAGAGAGAATTTTATTTCAATGGCTAGACTTGATAGATTTTATTGTTTTAAACATCATGTAAATGTTGTGAGAAAATGTGAAATTGTACCAGTTGGCTTTACTGATCACTCATTGGTTTTATGCCAGGTTTTTATTGCAAATGTTAAAGTTAAAAGCGCTTTTTGGCACCTTAATACATCGTTGTTAAGTGATCTGAATTTCAAAGAAGTATTTTGTTTCTTTTGGGATCAATTTAAATTAAGAAAGCAATGTTTTAGTGATTTGAGACAATGGTGGGATTGTGGAAAAGCCGAAATAAAATTGTTTTGTCAACAGTATGCTTTCAATGTTTCCCGAGATATTACTCAAGCTATGAGAAAACTGGAGTCTGAAATTATAGATTTACAAGGATTGGCTGAACTTAAAATAGAATCAAGACAAGCTGAGAAATTAAAGTCCAAAAAATCTCTTTTAGCGAATATGCTTGGTATAAAGGCACAAGGAGCATTGGTGCGGTCAAGGTACCAAAATTTAACACAAATGGATGCTCCTTCTAAATTTTTTTTCAGTCTGGAGAAAAAAAATGGCCAATGCAGGTACATTCACTCCTTATGCGCTGAAAATGGTCAGGTATTGACGGACGCAAGTGATATAAGACGGAGAGCCGTAAGGTTCTATAGTGAACTGTTTAAGAGTGAATGTGAAGAAAATGAATTGTTATCTGCCAGTTTTTATGAAGGACTGCCTAAGATTGCTGAAGACTCAAAAGTGCAACTGGACAGACCCTTATCTAGTCAGGAGCTTCTGAATGCCCTCAAAGATATGGAGGGTGGGAAGTCTCCTGGTATTGATGGACTCCCGGTGGAGTTTTATGAGGAATTTTGGTCTGTAATTGGTGAGGACTTGCTAACTGTTCTCAATGAGAGTTTGGCAGAGGGCTCTTTACCTTATAGTTGCAGAAGAGCAGTTATCACACTGCTTCCTAAGAAAGGCAATCTACAGGAAATCAAGAACTGGCGTCCTGTAAGTTTGTTATGTACTGACCTGAAGATTTTTTCCAAAGCCTTGGCCAACAGACTGAAGGATGTAATGAAACAAGTTATTCATATGGATCAGACCTATTGTGTGCCAGGTAGATCTATTTTAGATAATGTTCATTTGATTAGAGATGTTTTGGATATCTCAGACTTTATGGGTGTGGACTTAGGACTTATATCGATTGATCAGCAAAAGGCTTTTGACAGAATTGAGCATCAATATCTGTGGAAAACTTTAGAGTCATTTGGTTTTGGGTCTAAATTTATAAAAATGATTCAAGTGCTGTACAATAATGTTGAAAGCATGCTAAAAGTCAATGGTGGTTTAAGTGCTCCCTTCAATATTAGCAGAGGTATACGACAAGGGTGCGGGCTCTCAGGGATGTTATATTCCCTGGCTATTGAACCATTGCTAGCTAAATTAAGGAGCAGGATTGAGGGTTTATCATTACATTGTATAGAGTCTCAACATAAAGTGTCAGCATATGCTGATGATGTAATGGTCTTGGTTAACAGTCAAAAAGATATTGATGTTTTGGTCTCTGTGGTTAAGAATTTTGGTTTAATTTCATCAGCTCAAGTAAATTGGGAAAAGAGTGAGGCCTTGGCAATTGGAAAATGGGAAGAAGGTTTACCAGAGTTGCCTGGTCAAATGAGATGGAAAAGAGGTGGTTTCAAATATTTGGGGATATATCTTGGTGACGAAATTGTAAAACAGAAAAATTGGGAGGGAATTGTGGAAAAGATAGAGGGCAGACTTAAAAAATGGAGATGGATTCATTCTCAATTATCCTTTCGAGGAAGAGTGCTGGTGATAAACAATCTAGTGGCATCAACATTGTGGCATAAATTGTCTTGTATCGATCCACCTGCTGGCCTTTTGTCAAAATTGCAGTCAATTATTGTAAACTTTTTTTGGGATAAGCTGCACTGGGTACCTCAAAGTGTGTTATACCTGCCCAAGGATGAAGGAGGGCAGGGCTTAGTGAATCTGCAAAGTAGGCTGTCTACTTTTCGCCTACAGTTCATTCAAAAGCTCGTAAAAGGATCTGATTTGGTATGGCGAACGACAGCTAAGACAATTTTGCAAAGAGTTGAAGGTCTTGGATTGGACGTTGTACTTTTTTTAATGGATTCCAAGAACATTTGTTTGAACGGATTACCTTCATTCTATTGTGGACTTTTTAAAGTATGGAGACTCTTTTCTCTTTGCAGACTGGAAGAAACATGTTCTTTGTTCTGGTTACTTGAAGAACCCTTGGTTAAAGGAGCCAGGCTTGATATAACGGATGAGAGCATGTTGGGACTTACTCAAATATTGTGTTCCTCTGGAACTGTTCAACTAAAACACGTAGTGGATGTGGCTGGGACTGAACTTAATAATGTGGATGCGGTTACCAATTTGCTGAGACAGAGATCAACTCGTCAAACGGCAAAGATAATTGAACTTTGGAAAAAAAGACTAACTGAAAAGGATATGGATTTGCTAAAAGGACTGAAGGACGGGTCAATAATCCCGAATCAAGCAGATCCCTTTCCAAAAATTGGTCTTACGCCAGACTTTAAAGGGACATCAGGACTTTTGCTACAGCTGGAAGGGGTAAAAGATGTGAATTTAACTATGATGCAGGGTAAAACAATGTATAAATGCTTTGTGAAAGTGTACAATAAGAAAATTCTAGACAAAAGGAATGATACAGTGTGGAGAACTAAACTCGATTTAAATGAGGGGGAAAAACCAGTGTGGCGAGTTTTATATAAACCACCATTGACAAAACGTGTGGGGGACTTACAATGGAGGATTTTGCATGGCATTGTGGCAGTTAATGCTTTCATATCTGTTGTTAATTCTAGTGTCGATGACAAGTGTATTTTTTGTGGACATAGAGAGACTGTATATCACTGCTATCTGGAATGTACACGCTTAACACAATTGTTTGACATGTTGAGCAGAGTTTTCCTTAAATGTGGAGAGAATTTTACTCAATCTAAATTTATTCTGGGTGCTGGCTATAGTCAGAAACAAAAAATGAAATGGCAGTTAATTAATTTTTTAGTTGGTCAAGCAAAACTTGCTATACTTATTACAAGAAGAAACAAAATAGATAATGTACATGGTCAAGAGATTTTGATAGTTTTTAAAGCATTTGTAAGGTCCAGAGTTACAATAGACTTTAAGTATTACAAGGCCTTAAATAATGTTGAAACTTTTGCACAACAGTGGTGTTATGGGGATGCTGTTTGTAATGTGGTGGAAGGAGAGTTGTGTTTTGATTTGACATGGAGTTAAATTTGTGAAATGAAAAACTGATGTAATAAAGTCTTTTTGTAAAAAATCAAAAAAAATCTCTCTCTCTCTCTCTCTCTCTCTCTCTCTCTCTCTCTCTCTCTCTTTCTCTTTCCAGACACTGCAGATGGGGATTCGTCACTTCTCAGGGTTATTTGTGTTGCTGTGTGTTGGTGTGACTGGGGCCTTACTTACTCTGGCAGGAGAGCATGCCTTCTATCGCCTGGTTCTTCCACATATACGCCGCAAACAGAAGTTCAAATACTGGCTTCATACTAGTCAGGTGAGCCATGAGCCTAATTTAGTTCATTCTTTCATCCACCCGTTGTTTTCAAATCAATTTGCCTTGTTTATCTTGTAAAACATAAAAAGAAATGCTTTGCAGAATGTTCAAGCTACATTTTCCCCTAAAAATCAGAGTGAATGGTCACGTGTTTTCAGAACAATTAAGACCTCTTTTGTGATATATTTATGGTGTGTTTTTTCATGTTTGTTTTTATTTTTTTTTTCTAAATATCTCCTTGTGATCCAAAAATAACACAAACACACACACTAAAAAAACACTTTTACTGCTTGCTACCTACAGTATTTAAATGAGTTGAAACAACACAAATCTTAAGTTTGTTTTGGCACAACTTAATTGTTTTATGTTCAATCTACTTAAATTTGTGAAAATAATTAAGATTTGTGTACAAATGTGTACACTATACACTGTACAAAAAGCCAGCATTTTGTACAGTGCAGATTTAAGGGTAAGTGTACAGGAACCACATTTTAAAAGCATACAGAACTATCTCTTTAAATACCAATGATGTTTCTTATTGTCTGGGCTGTTTTTCTGTTAAAATTTAGAGTTGCCCAATTTATTATTTCATCAAAATGTTTCCTTTCTTTAATCCGCTGATAACTAAGATTAAAACTGACTCTTTTTTTCACAGGGCAAAGCTTTGACTGTGTAAATGAGTTGTGCTTGTTCTCTCAGGGTCTTATAAACTATACTGTCTCTAAAGGGGTGGAGAGGGATTACTGCCAAACTGAGTCAGTAATTGCCATCTCTGAAATATTGATTTTTAAAATCAAAAGCATCATGTTGATCTTTCCCATTGAGCCCTTGCTGAGACAAATCCCTTTTACTTTTCTCGTTTATTTATTTATTTATTCATTTATTTTTCAGAAAATCCACAGAGCACTGAACATGACTTACGAGGATGTGAAACGGCAGCGGGCAAACACAGAGAAAAGGTTTTGTCTTTGTTTTATTTATCTGTTTTATAAGCATCAGAATTGTCCATATTACAACTGATGAAATCACTTTTCACTTTGAATATCTTAAATCCATTTTGGATTATGAATATTTATTTTCTATTATCTTATATATTTTTTCCATTATCAGTTATCATTTTGGAATAAAATTTTAAGTTATATCTGGTTTTAGATTATTTTTTTTATTTAATATCATTCCAAAATTTAATGATAGCCTGGGGAATGTGCCGACATATAGCGACAATGTGCTTTGGGCATGCGGATTCCGAATCCCTTCTCCCTCTTTATCTCTGTCTCTAACTTTGCTCCCTGTCTAGCAACTGTCCAGTCATTTATAACGAAACAAAAAATCTATTCAATAAACCTAAAAATCTATCATATCATTGGTAGTGTTAGTATGATTTACACTATTAAATTACATACAGGTCAAGTCCAGTGTTGCCAGATTGGGTGGTTTTGAATTTGATTGTGGAGGTAGAAAATGCCGTAGGCGGGTAGACAAAATTTGGGTGTAGAAAAGTAATTCAGTTAGCAGTGACCAGTGCATAGCGCAAACCACGTGGGTCCACCCGCAAATGGAGGTAAAATAAAGTTGTATCAAAATCTGACTCCCGAACAAATCTGACTACCATTCACGTGCATGCGCATCACACAGCGCCTGCAGTTAAACTCACAGTGGTTTATCATAACACTTTAATTGATCTTTTTTATGTGTTGTCTGATTGACAAGGAATACCTAATTATGTTTAAAAGAATTTAAAATGCCAAATAGGACGAATTAATACCCTATTTTAAAAAGTTACTATCATTCAACCAGCATTTTTTTTTTTTTTTTACCAGAAATGACTAGGGACGGGTACTGAAACTCGGTACTTTATCGGTATCAGTGCTACATAATAAAGAGCAAAGTATCGATAAGCTCTGATGTTAACAGTTCTGCTATCGGTACTGGTGAAATATTGCTAAATAAACATTACTTACAGTAGCCTACTTTAACTGACCAACCTTTTCTAATATACAACATTTGATATTCGTCTGCACAGTTGTCAATCTCACATGAGAAATGCTCGTGTTTCAGGTGAGCGCGTTAAATATAAAAGTCTTCACAGTTCTTTTAAATTTTCAACTGCAGGGAGCACAATAAACTAAGAAAGATCCCGACTTTTGTTAGAAAAGGCAAACATGTTGATTTTTCTCCAGAAGAATGGTTAAAACAGCATCATTTTACCAAGCGTCTTTTTTAATCTGGGGTCGCCACAGCGGAATGAACTGCCAACTTATCCAGTAAATGTTTTACCCAGCAAATGCCCTTCCGCAACCCATCGCTGCGAAGCATCCATACATACTCATTCAGACTTATACACTACGGACAATTTAGCCTACCCAATTCACCTGCACCGCATGTTTTTGAACTGTGGGGGAAACCCACATGAATGCTGGGAGAGCATGCAAACTCCACACAGAAACGCCAACTGACTCAGCGGCTCGAACCAGTGACCTGCTTGCTGTGAGGCGACAGCACTATCTACTGTGTCAATGCATAGTCGTGGCAAAATTATTTTTGTTATACTTTTAGTTATGTGCTTGAGGTAGGTCAATTTATTTTTATGCTTCTGATTTTCACGCCCAGTCTTGCGTGTGTGTTGTTTTCATCATGTGACCTTCACCATGTGCTCCTTTGTTCCAGTTCGCGCCATGTGTTTATGTCAACCATCTTCACCTGTGTCTCATCCCTGTGTCTAATCATTGTCATCATCCACTGTGTATTTATAGTCCTTTGTTTCCTTGAGTCCTTGTCGGGTATTCTCTCTACGTTGATGTCTGTCTTCATTCCATGGTCTTCCTGAGTTCATCTCCGTAAGTGTTGTAAATAAAAATACGTGTTTTGATAATCCTGAGATCCCGTGCCTTCTTCAAGTAAACCCGGGTGTTACACTGATAAAGTAGCATTCAACTTGAAGAGCCATTTATGGCTCGTTTTCACTGAGAGGTACAGTACATAATGGTTCGGGTCGGTACAGGTCATCTTTATCAGGCTTGCGTTTCCACTACCAAGGGTACCCTTTTTGTGGGCGTGGTGTACGACAGAGTTTAAGTCGACGTCATTCTTGCTCAAATAAATGTCAACAGTAAAGCTGTACAGGTTGTTCACAAATCATATGAGAAACACTTCTCACAAAACAGATGCTTCATACACCTTGTTTATTATTAACCTTTCTATGAACATGATTTCATTATAACTGCAGATCAATGACAGGCTAATACAGTAGGCTATTTTGTACTATGTCTGCAATTATATAAAATAAATGCAACATTTATAAACACCAACAATCCCCTTACAGTCTCTGTTACCAACTACAGAAAAACTCCACACAACAGACATTTAGTCCTTATTTAGGTTTACAAACACCACGCAACATAGCCCACAGTCGGTGCAAACCTTTCATCTGTGTCTGTAATCTTCACCAAATTTACCAGAAATTTAAAATATGGAGCAATCGCTCTCTTTTTAAAAGTCTAATCATCTTGTTTAATCCTACCCCTTTTCGCAGCGCCATACGACAGAATTTCGCAAACTCAATCTCTAGTGTGACCTGCCGATTCACTCTCGCATTTGTCAGTTTCCGACAAGATCGGGTTTCAAAAGCACGTCAATCAAGTGCACGTTATTATCAGCTCAAGAAGTTTCTTATTTCAGATATAGACGCGTACATGAGCGCAAACAAGAAAGCGAAACCGCTTGCGCTTCAGACTGACTCGTAAAAAACAGGGGCAAAGAAAAAGGGGCACAGGGTAAATCTGCTCTTCTTTTTGGCTTTGTGGCTGTTCATCAAGACCATGACATGATTTGTTTGAGCCCATATCGACCATGGCTCGTTATTATATGTATTTACGCTGTAAAAGAGCTCTCAGCTGTGTATTTTAAACATTGCGGCTCTTTTGATTTAAGTCTGGCTTGTTACTTAAGGGAATGACGTTTCTCTGTAAACCAATATCATTCAGCTGCGAGTCTAGCTCTGCCTTTTGGTAACCTTTCTCGTGTTTGGTACCCTTTCAAAAGGGTGCCGAAAAATTGGTACGGTTCGGTTCGGTACGCCTTTTGAAAGTGGAAACATCTATAAAAGCAAGTAATATAAGAAAGAAAGAAATATAATCAACAAAGAAAATGTAAATGAAAACCGTAAATAAAAAGCTTATTTATTTACTGTCTTAGTCCTATCACTTTAAACTAACAAACACTGTACATCTCTTCATATTAATGCCAAAACACTACTTTATTTATTTATTTATGTAAGTTTATACTTTTATTTTAGTTGTCTTTCTTTTCTTTGATTTTAATATCCAAAATGACTCCTCATTTCACTTAAGTTTACAGTTATAATAAAGCTTCGTTAACCAGTTTTTAATGATCAACAAAGGAATTATAATGCTTTATTTCATTATTTCATCTTTATTTACAAGTAGAAGGGTATTTACAGCTACTTTATATTTCTGTTTGTTTACATCCTGTCACTTTGTGCCCTCTGGTGGCATAGTTGCAATCTACTGTTATTCCTAAAATATGTTCTTAAGCCTCCTTTCCACTGCACATGACAAGCGACAGACGGAAGTCATTCATTGCCAATAGAGAGTAGTCCAGGAGCTGTTACGATCATCTTCAAACGTGAAAAATTAGAAACCGAATTGAGCTGCGAATCCATTCAAATATTTGCACTCCTGCGACTAGACCGTGTGTGACCGGTTGACCTGATGTGATGTTTTTCAGTGTCCGTGCGTGCAAAATGAGGAATAGTATTTATTTATTTATTTTTTGATTTAGAAGAAAGTCTATATTTAAAAAAAAAATAAAAAATTCTATTCATATTTTATTGTATGTATTTTTTTTGTTGTTGTGGGGGCTGCACGGTGGCGCAGTGAGTAGCACGTTCGCCTCACAGCAAGAAGGTCGGCGTTTCTGTGTGTGGTTTGCATGTTCTCCTCATGTTCGCTTGGATATCCTCTGGATGCTTCGGTTTCCCCCACAAGTCCAAAAACATGTGGTTTAGGTGAATTGGGTAAACTAAATTGTCCATAGTGTATGTGTGTAAATGAGTGTGTATGGGTGTTTCCCAGTGATAAGTTGCGACTGGAAGAGCACCGGCTTTGTAAAACATATGCTACTTATGCATTTAAGTTGGCAGTTTATTTTACTGTGGCGACCCCAGATTAATAAAAGGACTAAGCTGAAAAGAAAATGAATTAATTTTTTTGTCCACATTCCCTCCAAAAACCATTGTGAAAGCACAGAGAATAAAAGCTCTTGCTTTTGTTCTCCTTTATATCGGGCACAGCGAGAATCAGTTTCTGTCCCATGGTGCATGGCAAAAACAAAAATTCTATGCGATCGCCACATTCCAGTAGTCCAGATGTTGTGTGCAGTGGAAAGGTGGCTTTAGTCCCTTGCCCTCTTACCGCGTGCCAAGCGTAGTGGTAATGGTCATTTTGTAATGTCACTCACTGTACACTAAAGACAATTTAATTTATTCAATTCACCTTTAGCGCATGTCTTTGGACTGTGGGGGAAACCGGAGCACCTGGAGGAAACACACAAATATGGGGAGAACATCCAAACTCGCTTCTTAATGTTAGGGGACAGTTATAAACACTCGCATAGTTGCATGTTGTAATATTTAAAATATCCAGCGGCAACACAGTACTGGGAAACACCCAAACACTCTCAACATCACACACATATTCACTCACTGTACACTACAGCCAATTTATTTGATCCAATTCACCTAAATTGCATGTCTTTGAACTCTGGAGGAAACCAGAGCACCCAAAATTAATTAACAAAATAAAGAATAACAACACAATTATAATAAATTGTTATTATAAATTAAATTTAAATTATAAACTACTTATATTTTATAGTGCAATAACCTTTCACAATTTTAAGTGTATTTTTGATTAAATAAATTCAGCTTTGCTGAGCAAAACAGGCTAATTTTAAAACATTTGAAAATCCTAGAGACACAACTTATGACAGGTAGTTCATGTGCTGTTTCGACGTCTATTTTTTATGGTTAGGCTATTTTTAGCTACATTTTATTCCTTTTACATTCATCAACTGGCACTAAAGTCAAGACTGCATCTGTTAACTAAGGCTAACATGCCAGGATAATATAAATTTAAAGAGCTTTGTCTTCAAAATGAGCACTTCAAAGTCTGGGTGTTAAAAGCAGACAAGAGAAAACTCTGTAAAACTACTATTGAGCTATAAAATATGAAAAAGGGAGCACTTTGCAACCAATCAAACAGTAAATAGGCCTTCGTGTATCTCAGATTTTTTTTTTTTTTGAAAATCTGAGATATATTATCCAATATTCTCTTAGTGGCTATAAAGTGATGCAAAATGATAATCAAGTTTTAATTTATGGTGTTAATTTAATATTTTTTTTTGTATTATATCATTAACGTATTATTAACTCCTGTTTTTTCATTTATTAGATGTTCTTTCATTCATTTTTTTTTTTTGGCTTAGTCTCTTTGTTAATCTGGGGTTGCCACAGTGGAATGAACCTTAACTTATCCAGCATATGTTTTACGTAGCGGATGCCCTTCCAGCTGCAACCCATCACAGGGAAACGTCCATACACATGCATTCACACACATATACTATAGACAATTTAGCTTACCCAATTAATCTATAGGGCATGTCTTTGGACTTGTGGGGGAAACCGGAGCACCCGGAGGAAACCCACGCAAACACAGTGAGAACATGCAAACTCCACACAAAAACGTCAACTGGCCCAGCTGAGGCTTGAACCAGTGACCTTCTTGCTGTAAGGCGACCGTGCTACCCACTACACCAACGTGAAGCCCTAAATATCACTGTAGTTTTTCTAATTGCACTTTATATTTTATACCTAGGTATCCTGCACTTGATCACTCCTGGTTAGACCTAAACTGCATTTCGTTGCTTTGTACTTGTACATGTGTAATAACAATAAAGTTTAATGTAATCTGATCTTATGGAAATTGGATGTTTGACTTAAAGTGGAAACCCTGTTATATAAAAAGAGTATCTTAATAAATAAATAAACTAATTCCTATCTAAATAATTTTTTTTTCCCAGCTGTAACATTCAGAAAGCCCAGCCGCATCCTCCACCTCAACCTGCTCCGCTTGGATCATTTGCCAGGTGGAACAACGAGAGTGCCAAGGTAGCACAGGAGCCTAAAGACAACAAGAGGGTCCATTTCAACCTGGAGACCCTCAACACCCGTCGACTCCTCCCCCGAGTTGTGTCAGACGGGGGCCAAACCAGCTCCGCCTCCACGTTGAGTTCTGGGGCTGGGAGTTTATTGGCGAGAGTGTGTGAAAATGGGGGGCCTGTTCAGCGGGCCACCTCGTCAGTGAGATCCTCGAGCCCCTCCGGACAGGACGAGCTGGAGGAGCTCCAGACGAAGATTGAGGAAATCCGTGGACATTTGAAAGCTGCTCTGGCTCGCAGGGCTGAACTTCAGACAACACTGGCTAAAGAGAGAGCGGCTGCTGCTCTCACCACGGCAACAACGACTGCTCCGCCCACAGTCACAGCTACCATTTGCCCCGCCCTCACCAAAGAGCCGACAGATTTAAAAAGGTGATGCTCACATTACGAGCAGTATGAACATTGTTAAAATGGACATGTTTTTTTAGCGTTTGCCTTCAAAAAAAAAGGAAAAAAAACACCAGGACTCTTTTAAAATATCATGCTAAGGCAGCTTTGATCCTTGGTACAGTTATTACGCTAATAGAGCCTCATGTTACATCTTCTGAAGCATCTCTACAACTCCTGTTAAAGGGATAGTTCACCCCTAAAATTTAAGTTTACTCACTATTTACTCACCTTCATGTGGTTAAAAACAGAGGAAGAAAAAAACTTGTAAGCTTTGACGTATAATATTAAAAAACAAATACTATGAAAATTAATGCCCACATAGCAAAATTTCTCTAGCCCAGATATGGCCCACACAATCAGCTTTTGCTTGGCCCACATTCTGCAGTGAATTACGGAACATGATTGGACCAAGTCTGGCTTCCATACAAGGGCCAAGCATGAACCACGGCCAAATCTCAGCCAAGTTAATAACCAGGGCTTGACATTAACTTTTTTGATCACCAGCCACTGTGGCTAGTAGATTTCCAACATTACTAGCCACTCACCATTTTCACTAGCCACATATTTCTTGTTGGAAAAATATATTTTGCTTAAATTTGACTTTGACATGCTAAATTATTTGATTTAGATATTGTGTTGTCCACATGCCTTCTCATTCATTCATCAACTTTTTGTGCTTATTGTGTATTAGCTTGCTCAGTGTGCATGAGCAAATGGGTCGTGTCACAACGCAATGATTTTTTATTCCACAACTTTTTCAGAGCTCAAAATTAAGGATTTACCAAATTTATTTCTGACCACAGCAAATAAGTATTTCTTAGCCACAATTGTTTATGTGTAAAAACAAGGAAAATATAGCTGAATAGGTGCACTTTTAATTCAACAAATTTTTTCTTTAAAAAAAATATTACATTCAAAACATTACATTTAAAAAAATAATTATTGTCATGTATCTAAAATATTCATAGTAATCTGTCCTGGCTAAAAGTCCCAGATCACCAGTTAACTACACATGAACGGGGAGTAATATCCCATTAAAGCAATGTTATTGTAAAAAATGATAATTAAACCATATTAACAAAAATAACTGTAAGCAAAAGAAAGCAGGTGAAACATACTGTGCACACGGTTAATGTTAGGAATGTTAATAATCTCCTCTAAGAATAATTCAAATGAAAGCAGTGATCGCTGCTGCTCACAAAAGAATATGTGCATTTTTTTTTTATCTTGAGCTCTTGAAAGCAGCAGGACTGTGGGTGCACGATCGGCACTCTTTGTCCAGTCTATTTCAAAGGGAACCAATCGCACCAGTTGCGCTTCCTCTAGGCACAGTTGCTTTGCGCAAGTAAACGGGAGCGTGGGCACGCTTTTTAACAGTCGCACGCATCACATCAGCTGTTAGCGCGAGTGATCATGCTTTCTTTCTGTATTCACCAGTTATTTTTGTCAGTCGTGCTGCTTCTTGATTTTAATATCACATTTGCACAAATATTGGGCCATGCTTATTGTCAAACCCTGCTTTTAGGAAAACTACCATTTAAAAATGATTTCCAACCAGCCAAAGTGGCTAGTGGAGGTGTTTGTCTAATCCGCCACAGATGAAATCTACCCGCATTTGGCGGGTTGGCGGGTGTTAATGTAAAGCCCTGTTAATAACCCATAATTGGGCCTGAACTGAACCAGATATGTAGATGTGTCACAACTGCAATGAATTTGATAAACCAATGAAGCATTTTGTTTTATCACTTTTCTTTATATATTTATTCCTTTACTTAAAAATAATTTTAATGTTTTTAAAAGTGGGTCAAGATAAGCCAAACTTACATGGCCCACATATACTGTTACCTGGGTGGTAACAGATTTCCAGATTTCTTCAAAAATATCCCCTTGTGTTTAAAAGATGAAAGAAAGTCAGACAGTAACTTAAAAGGACAGTAAATAATGGCAGAATGCTAATTTTTGAAAGAACTATTCGTTCACATTTGCAGGTAGAAACCTAAAGAACAAACGCTAGAAGGTTGAAGGCACCATGAAAGTCCATGCTGTACTCTCAGAGCTTTATTTATTCACATCCCAGAAGGACGTTTCCCCTTGGCCAGCTGTGGATATGGATCAAAATAAACCCCTGTTGCACCCAGAGCCTCATTGCAGAGTCAGAGGTAGAACAGAACATTGATTTTGCTGCTTTAGCAATGGTTTTATAGCTTGTTTTTGTCTGATCAAAAAAATTGCTATTGTTATTGATCTTTTATCCTCCATGAAGTAATATGGGCATATGAATGGCCAGGATGCCTGTTTGAATCAAGTTTGATGTTAAAGAAATAAATGTGATCTTGTCATAAATTGGATTCCTTGCATGAAAAGACTTCACACCAGAGAGTTGTGTAGATAAATATATTTTTTTTAGGATTTTGTTGTTGAATTTTTTTCGTTGTATATGAAAAACATTTTGATGGATGAAACAAACTCCAAAAATTTGTGTCAGAAGCACATTTAACACTGTGTTAAATAAACTTTGTTTAAAACGTTACAGGTGCTGGTCATATAAAAATAATATCTTTATTTATTTCACTAATTCCAATTAAGAAGAGAACTTTGATAATGTAGTTATACACTCAGTCCACACAGACTGTTTCGAGTGTTTATTTCTTTTAATTTTGATGACAACTAATGAAAACCCCAAATTCAGTGTCTTAGAAAATGATAAAATTGTGTAAAGGTTTAGTATTGAAGACACCTGGTGCCATACTCTAATCAGCTAATTAATTTTAAACACTTGCAACACCTTTAAATGGTATCTCAATCTATTTCTTTAAGCTACACAGTCATGGGGAAGACAACCCCACTGACACCTTGCACAAACAGAGCAAGACACAAAAGTCATTGCAAATGAGGTTGGCTGTTTACAGAGCTTTGTTTCAAAGTACATTAATATAGAGGCGAAGGGAAGGACAAGGTGTGGTAGAAAAAAATGTACAAGAAATCAGGATGACCGCGCCCTGGAAGGAACTGTGAAACAAAACCCCTTAAAAATGTGGGGGAGGTTCACAAAGAGTGGACTGCAGCTGAAGTCAGTGCTTCAAGAACCACTACGCACAGACGTATGCTAGACATGAGTTTCAACTGTCACATTACTTGTGTCAAACCACTCTTTAACAACAGATAACATCAGAAGCACCTCGCCTGGGCTAAAGACAGGACTGCTGCTGAGTGCTCCGAATGTATGCGCTCGGATGAAAGTAAAATTTAGAAATCAGGGTCCCAGAGTCTGGTGGAAGAGTGGAGAGGCACACAACCCACGTTGCTTGAGGTCCAGCGTAAAGTTTCCACAGCAATGGTTTGGGGTGCCATGTCATCTGGTGTTGCTCCACTGTGGAGTCCAAGGTCAATGCAGCGGTATACCAGGACATTATAGAGCACTTTTGGCTTCCTGCTGCTGACCAACTTTATAGAGATGTAGATTTGATTTTCCAACAGGATTTGGCACTTGCACACAGTAACTGGTTTAGGAACCATGATATCCCTGTTCTTAATTGGCTAGCAAACTCGTCTGACCTTAACCCTATAAAAAATCTATGAGGTGATATGCCTGACCTAAATATGCAGAAGAGCTGATGGCACCTAACACCTAAACGACTCCATGCCATGATGCAGTAATTCAGGCAGAAAGGGCCCAAACCAAGTATTAAGTGCTGTACATGCTCATACTTTTCATGTTTATACTTTTCAGTTGGTCTAAATTTCTAGAAATCCTTTCTTTGTATTAGTCTTCAAATTTTCTGAGATACTGAATTTAGCGTTTTCATAAGTTGTCAATAAAATCTTTAAAATAAAATAAACACTTGAAATATGTCAGTCTGTGTTAAATGAATGTATACATTATACAAGTTTTACTTCTTGTATGGACCAGCACCACAATACAATACAATAATTGAATTTTGGGGGGAATTGAGTATACAGTTTTCTTTAAAGTTTTACAAGCAAATTGTTTGCCCAGTCTGGCTTGATACTGGACTTCTGCTGCTCAACAGTCCGTGGCCATTGTTGTCTGATTCTCTTTTTCATTACAGACCTGCAAGTATCTGGACTGCAGGCAAGCCTGTCCAAAACTTGGACTCTGTGCCTATAAAACCATGCTGTTGTAGCACATGCACACTAAGACTGGATCCAATAACCATGAAAGACTTTATGTTAATGGCTTAATGTCTTTTTACAATCTGAATATTGGCCTCCATGTCTATCTTTTCCCATCCACCTATTTCATCAATAGTGTCTGGCTGCAGACTTGCACATGCACATGCACTTTTAGACACCTCAACTGTGACATCATTGTAAGGGATAGGGTTAGGGCAGGGGTGGCCAATCCTGTTCCTGGAGATCTACCTTCCTGCAGATTTCAGTTGCAACCCTTATTAAACACACCTGTCTGTAATTATCAAGTTTCAGGTCCTAATTAATTGGTTCAGGTGGGTTTGATCAGGGAAGGAGCTAAACTGTACAGGAAAGTAGATCTTAAGGAACAGGATTGAGCACCCCTGGGTGCAGGGAAGCACTCACACAATCACACAGTATGGCCAATTTAGTTTTATTCAGTTCATCAATACCACAACTTTAGACTACGGGGGAAAGCAAAGCACTCTGAGCAACCCACAAAACATAGGGAGAACATGCAAACTCTACACAGAATGGCCTCCTGGTCTAGGACTCGACTAGCAAAACCTACTTGCAGTGAGGTGGTAGTGTTACCCACTGAGTTACCGTGTCACCTGAACTTGCCAGAATTGCTGCAAAGATCTAACACTCCTTTTTTTTTTTTTTTAAACTCAATTTGCATTTCCTGATGCAGCAACAGACTATGTTCATTAACAATGGTTGTTTAAAGTACCCCTGAGGCCATATTTATATGAATTTACTCCATCTATGTATGAGATTAAACACATTCAGCTGACTTTTCCTGCCTCGTCCTACACTCAGAAAAACTCAAAAACACTCAAATGTCTCTGGATTGCCTAAATTATTTTAGAATATTACTCTGTATATAGTTGGTAAAAGATCTCAATTTTGGGCAAATTTGTATTCCAAAATATATTTTTGATTTGATTCCATTGACGTTTTGGAATAAAATTACGTATAAAAGGAGCATTTCATTGAAGCTGGGTCATGCTCCCGTTAAACCCATACATGAAACCCTCAGGTTTCACCAGTTCACCAGCTTAAAGTGTGTTCATCCAAAAATGGAAAACTCATGTTGTTTCAATCCCCTGAGATTTTGGTTAATTTTCAAAACACAAATGAAGGTAGTTTAGACAAAATCTGATACCTCAATCTCCACAAACTGCAATGGTCCTGAGATGTACATTCATATTCTTTTTCGGCTTAGTCCCTTTATTAATCTGGGGTCACCACAGCGGAATGAACCACCAATTTATCCAGCACGTTTTTACGCAGCGGATGCCCTTCCAGCCGCATCCTATCTCTGGGAAACATCCACACACACAATCTTTCACACTCATACACTACGGACAATTTAGCCAACCCAATAAACCTGTACTGCATGTCTTTAGACTGTGGGGGAAACCGGAGCACCCAGAGGAAATCCACATGAATGCAGGGAGAACATGCAAACTCCACACAGAAACGCCAACTGACCCAGCCGAAGCTCGAACCAGCGACCCTCTTGCTGTGAGGCAACAGCACTACCGACTGCACCACTGTGTCGCCCCTGAGTTGTTCAAAAGAGCTAAAACATTCCTTCTGATTTTAGTGGTTGAACTGTAATCATATAGAGCTCCAAGAACACTTTTGTACGTCAAAGCAAACAAACAAAACAAAAACTGTAAAAATTACACTATAAAAATGTTCGCCAATGTCTTATCCTCATTGGCTCTTTAGGCTAAATTTACTACAAGTGTGGCGTGGGTATAGAGTAGGGTTTAAATCTCTGTAATTAAAAATAACCAACTACGCCACCCCAGGAGTTACCCAGGGAAACAACTATTAGAAAAGGACACAGGTTCGTTTCTCCCAGAAAGGCACAGAGACGTGAGTTAATGAAAAAGTACAAAAATATTTATTTGGAATAAAACTACCAAATGGTACGGTTCTTAAAAATACATCAAAAACTCCCACTTCATTATTAAACACAAGAAACAATAAATAAACAAAACCAAACCAGGATTGGAGGTTCCCACTGACTGGGTACGAGTGGACAGACTTTACCCCAGCACACGCACACACCACAGTGCACTCAAAAATCACGCTATCACGCACTCAGTGTCCACAGCACACGATAGAGAAACACCACCACCAGTGGAAAGTGACCCGTCATCCACCGGGGGAAACCTCAGTTCCTGAAATAAATAAAAATAAAAATCAATAACCAACAAAACACAAATAAGTGGGTCAATCAGGTTAACACCTACTTTACATGATCTAATTGAAAGATAGCTACAGCTGTATTTACACCATCTGACCTACACTAGACCCAACATTAACTGTTACTAGAAAGACTAAATTCACCAAAGAATACTCTTAATAACGAAAAACAAAATCAATACTTTGCATAAATAGACACAACAAAAAAACAGAAGAATGCTTATGTTGACAAATCAATTATCCAACACAAATAAACAAATGAAAGAATGAAGGGGAGCACAAAGCAGCACGCTAAGAGTTATTGCAGGCAGTCCCCGCTAGCAGCTGCATTGGTGGTGTCCAAGCGGCAGCCAATACGCCGCCGTTAGCATTAGCAGCAGTTGCAGACGGTCTCCGGTAACCACGGCAATAGCGATGAACACGGGAGCTAGTAAGCAAATGATACCCGAGGAAGATCCGACGTAAGAGAGAAAGAAAGGGGAAAAGGGAGGATCCTAAGGAGGAAAAGCGCAAACAAGCCCATTAACATGGTCCTTTAAATGATCACACCACATCATACGTGCTTCACTTACCAATGGGCGCACACTCAGACACGTTCTAAATCACTCGTTGGTCGATATAATACAGCGAGGTGCCGGAATTAATAGCTGTACAGCATGAAACACGCAGGTTAAAATGCGGCTAAACCCCATTACTCAGCCAGTTCAAAGCCATCACATACCTGCAACTGAACAGTCATCCAGCCACCACAGCCAAGGGAAAAGCCACCGCCACACGATGCACTAAAACAATGCCAAAAGAGAGCTTAACGTGGGTCGATTCAAACAACTTACAAAATTCAGAACGGGCGCAGAGCCTCTACCTGTAGCCGCGGCTACAGACACCCAAACCAGTGCGTCGGAGTCGGACGTGACGTATCCCAAGCACCGACCAATCAGGTTTAAAAAGGCGGTGCTACGTGCCGATTGGCCGATGTCAATGCCAATCAGCTGCACAGCACCATCACATTTTGGTTACTCATATCAATCAGCTGCACTACACCATCACACAAGCAATACAACACTTTGCGTGTTGCGCAGCTGACTCTGATGGCAATTTGTCGCATTGCCCATAATAAACGCTTACTTTTCTGCTGAAAAAAATGTTGTTTTAGTATTAAACTATTCGAATGATAGTTGAACCACTTAAAGCAGGTTGCACACCAGAAGTGCCGCTCGGCGGCGCACCGCGCAGCGCCATGCATTTTAGAATTCTAAACATAGGTTTCTATCAGGATACACACACCGGCGCCGCAAGTTGGCGGCTGTCGTCGGCGCCCGGCGACGGCTCAGGACGCAGTTCATTTTTCAGCCGCGCCACAGAGCGCCATTTGATTAGTTTCATGTTAAATATCATTCGAATGTGCTCTTATGGTGTGTGATACTTTAAACTGTCATGTGCGCACCGTGTTGCGGCGCCGAGCGGCGCTTCTGGTGTGCGACCTGCTTTAGACCCTGTCAACATGAACACAGGTATTTTTAAAATGTCACCTTTTTTTTAACAGTTTTGCTGTTTGTCGACATGAAAAAGCTGATGATTGTTAAGTAAAAAGCGTGTTTGACATGGTGTCCCAGGATAGAGCCCTGAGTTTGGAATAACCATGAGCCAAGGGCTCCCTACCGTTAGGCCATGCGAGAGGGAAGTCTGAGCAAAAATTTATTTATTTTTTTTTCTTTTTCAAACTACTTAATTAAAATCAGCTAAAGCAACACAATTCATGAGATTTCATTGGGACAGCTTAATTTGTTTATGTTCAAGCCACATAAATTTGTTAAAAGTGTTAACAATCAATTTGTGTTGGGACAACATGAATGAATTGTGTGAAACCCTACATTTATTACAAGTGTAGATCTTGAGATTCTATTTAAGCTAGGAAAAAGGGAAAGGAGACAGGGAGGATGAGGGGATTATTTGAGACAAAGATGGTTAAGGTAAGGAGATCTGTCTATTTTTGCATGTTTGAATTTGTTTAATTGGTATATCATGTGATTGCTAATGCTGCAGCCATGGTCAATCATAAACATGCAATCCTCTAAATATAAGTGTATAAATAAACTTTACGTATTGGGAGCCTGAAACCAACGCTTTCTGAAAACTAATACTCTGGGTATGGTGTGGTTATGTGGACGCTAAATGTAGCAGGTAGTTTTCTCCTTTCTGATTGGCCAACATGACTGGGTTCACATCAAACATGGAGGACACGAATGAGGCTAATACTGCATGTTTGCAACAAAGACTTTGCATATTCCGTGTTGTTTACAATGCAGGATGGTAATCTGCCTCTGTTCCCATTTGCATTGACTTGTATGCAATTTACTTACAATAATGCTTATTTCTCCATTTGGTGTGAACCCAGCATGTGTCATTATCTACAAAAAAAAAAAGGCTTGGAAAACTTAGCTTATAAAAATACCCCTGTAAGTGTGGACATGACCTAAGTCACATGAAATGTTTTGACATTTTTTGGCTCCGTTTCTAACCTTTGTATGTCTTGTGACCATTGCTGAAAATGGAGGATGAGGGAGCTCTCTGATTTCATCTAAAATACTGTAACTTATTTTCTGAAATAAATAGAATAAACTTTCCACTTTTGGATCAACGGTATCAAAACGGTTTAATCTGAATATTCCATAACGTCATTTTTATTCTACCTCTATCCCAAATTTCCTTGAAGTGTGTTCTAGCCATCAAAATTTGTGCATATTCATAAATGATAACTTATGTGGGTGTTTGATCAAACTAAAAAAATAAATAATATGGGTGGGGAGCAGTAGTGGTCAAACTGAAACGCAACTTGAAGAACTCATAAATTAATATATCACAATTTTATTGCATTTTTACAAAATGTCCCAATTTTGCAGTGTATCTCAACAATGTTCCTGGAGGACCACCAACACTGCATGTTTTGGATGTCTCTTTTGTCTGTCACACCCGTTATAGGCAGGGGCGGACTGGGACTAAAAATCAGCCCTGGCACTGTAGCCATACCAGCCAACATTCCGCACCGACACAGCCCAATCCTTGGACACGCACATTCACTACTTATATTGGTATACAAATGGTAAAATAATATAACCAGTTCCTTATGCAATAAATATTTAAACATTTAATGTGTGTGACTGGAACAAAACCCGTCTATAACAAATTTATACATGCAATCATTTTATTCATTCATTTTCTTTTAGGCTTAGACCCTTTATTAATCTGGGATCACCACAGCGGAATGAACCGCCAATTTATCCAGCACATGTTTTATGCAGCGGATACCCAATTCACCTATAGTACATGTGTTTGTGTGGGACTTACGGTTTGTTTGACATTCTTTTAGATTTTGATTATGTCTGTGTAACCTCTGATTTGGTCGGCCCATCTCGAAACCAGCCGGTTATTGCTGATTGGGCCAATGCTTAACATTTATTATTATTATTACTATCATCATCATAATATTCACATCTTGCAAGAGATAAAAGCTGCCTGGATGTAAAAACAATACATTAAAAAATAATAATATAAAAATAGCATAACGGCCCACATTTAAAAAATGGTCCAGCCCTTCTGGCATTTGCCAGAATTGCCCGATGGCCAGTCCGTCCCTGGTTATAGGTCTTTCAGTCTCTGCTGATGATCTGAATAAGGTGTGTTTGTTTAAGGAGACATGAAAATTGTGCAGAGCTGGTGGTTCTCCAGGAACGTGGTTGTGAAACACTGTACTAAAGCTGTGCATTCTCATTACATTAAATGGTCTACTCTAGATGATGTTTCCCCAGTAATACTGTTGTATTAAAAAATCCTGCTTATTATGATAAAAAAATTAAATACATTTATTTTACTCCAGCAAGTAGAAATAAAATATGCACCATATTCATAGAAAATGCCTGAAAGACAAAATAACCACAAACAATTAGTTCTAAGTGGAAATTAATTTCATCTCTTTATGCAGTTTTTAAACATTACAGTTAAATACATTTCAATGACAAGGAATTGAGTTTATCACAGAACTGACAATTTCTTTTCAGTTTCTGTCTAGACGTCCTACACAATGCATCTAAACACTACAATCATCTGCTTCCTTTGAAAATGGCAAATAGGCACAGAAAATATAATAATGAGGAACTGATCATAAAACCATAAATCAATTTTTTAGACCTGGAATCCTTTATGGATCTGAGCCTCAAAACATATTGCACAATTTGAATAAAAAAAAATATTCCAGAGCCTGGCTTTAAAGGAACACTCCACTTAAAATATTAATAATAATAATAATAATAATAATAATAATGATAATAATAATGATAATTATAATATTAAAAGGGCTCACTTGAGTTAAGTTGAGTTTAAAGATTTTTTAAATCCATTCAGCTATTCTCCGGTTTTGGCAGGAGCACTTTTAATTTAGCTTAGCAAAGATCGTTAAATCAGATTAGACCATTAGCATCTCATTTAAAAATGACCGAAGAGATTCAATATTCTTTCTTGTGTTAAAACTGGACTCCTTTGTGGTTACATCATCATCATCATGTAAGACTGATATAAAATGAAAAGTTGCTATTTTCTAGGCCAATCAGTACTACTTTCATTAATAATCAAGCAACTTTGCTGCCATACCTTGGCTACAGAAGGCATAATATAACACGGCACCTGACAATAGTCCCCAGCATCAAGCTCTACACCAGCATCACCATAATCTGTTTAATATAATTGCGCAACTACAGATAAACAGTAAATTTATGTAATCTCTTTGGTCATTTTTAAGTGAGATGCTAATGGTCTAATCAGATTCAATTATATATGCTAAGCTAAAAGTGGTCAACCCAGACCCAGAGGTCATCTAAATGGATTAAAAAATGGTAAAACTCAACTGTTTAACACTGGGGGAGTCGTAAATTATAGCTATTTAAAAAAAAAAAAAAAGTGGAGCGTTCCCTCAACTTGCCATATTGTTGCATAGCCTAAGCGACCCTCACCCATCCACAGTCATGTGTCACAACAGATTCCTTTATTTGTTCTCAGTTTGCAGTGTGTTTAGGTAAGTTTGTACACACATTCATTAAGATCGATAGATCAGTCCACTCTTTGGACAGCCACAAATCAAAATTAAAAGCAGAAAACGAAAAGAAAACAGACATCTGGATTGACGACTTCAGCTGAAGTAGTGTTAAACAGTCTGACCTTCACCACTTATGTCTGGTTCTAAATGATATCTGTTGAAGTAACAACACGTTTACCCTTTCATCAGTTTCTTTAATGTCTATTTTTTCCACTGGCTTTGAAGCCTCTGATAAGGCTATCAACCTCAACGCACTTTCCAAAGATGGAAATACAAGGTTAAATGTTCGGTTTTAGAAGCATAAGGCAATAATCTACACACCCACTCTTTCTTGAAGCCAGACCTGAAGTAAAATCAAAGATCAGTTCGTGCAAAAGACAAAAGAGATCTGTCTAAACTAACCACAAGGACAAATGAGGATCTCTTGATGAGGATTAGAGCATTAGTGACCCCGAGACTTCACTGAGGATCATGTTAAAGAAGGACTTATATCATCATCACTCGTCCATGTATTTTTATTTTAGAATCAGAGCACTCTGACCACCAATAACACCTGTCAGGGGTCAAGCTGCTCCATACATATGACAATTACCGAGCCAATGGAAGGTTGGTATCTGAATTTTAATTCAAGTAAGGAAAATATGGTGCCTTGCTGTATTGAACGAAGTTAGTCAGAAACAAAACCTCATTTTGATAATCATTTAATAATTATTTATGCTGTAAGTAGGCAGCATTAATGTTACCTTTAGAGGAATGAAAAGAAAGTCAAAACAAATCTCACACAACAATGTGTGAATCTGCAACATGGATTTGGATTTGAAGTAAGATTGCCACCCGTGCGGCCTGCTGATACCTGCAGCTCCGTTATCAGGAGCCACCAAAAGTACCATAACTGAACAAATACATCACATTTCAAGCTGAATACTACCTGTATTAAAACTTTCAATGATTTAAAAAAAAAAGGAAAAATCACATCCA